AACATCAAGTAATCAGGGGAGGAACAGGAAACTAACCAAATAAGGGCATGGGAAGACACATGGGGAGCAGGACACACACAAAACATGGAACAGAGTCTGACAATTACGCTGCACTGTTTTTAAGAAGAAGAAGAAGAAGATGTTGATGATGATGATGATGATGGTGGTGATGAATACATTTTTCTTCAGCAGCAAGTCAGTATAATAGAATGATTTCTAATGAATCATGTAACACTGAAGACTGGTGTAATGGCTGCTGAAAATTCAGCTTTGCCATCACAGGAATAAATTGCATTTTAAAATATATTAAGTAGAAAAGTTAAGTAGTTAAATAACATTTAAGCATAAGGGATTTATTTTGGGAAATGGTTGGAATAGGAATATTTGAGAAAGATGTAATGCAGAGTCTTGGCCGATCAGCTGTTTATTGTCATAAGATTCTCTCTCGTGAAATGTCAGTTAATGTCTAAGCTCTATAAATACAGGTTCTTAATATTACACTAAGATTGCATTAATATTTACCTTTGCCAGCAGTTGGAAAGTTACTTTAGTATATTAAATACACTGAAATTTAAAGGTGCAAATTTTTGGAAATTGTAAAATGTGTTAATATGAGGAGCTGGATCTTTGTCTCATGTGCTTGAAGTATTTTAGGCTCTTTTTTAGCACAGTACACACACTCATACATACACAGACATACACATTTATTAAGAAGGATTCAGTAGATCTTTAACAAACCAGCATGTCAGGACAATGTGAACTTTTCAGCTGGCAGAAATTGATGACCAAACTTCCCCCATCATCATGGAAACCAGTGACTTCTCGACATTAGGAGCCTTCAACTTGTGTGGCTTTGACCTTTGAGTCAGAAACTCTGAAGAAAGTCACCAGTGTGGCATGGAGTGTGTGTGTGTGTGTGTGTGTGTGTGTGTGTGTGTCTGTGCTGGAGTACACACAAATATACTATGCTGTTCCCTCTCCTGTTGCCCCTGTACAGGTGTGTGTGTTGTTTGAGATCAGTGTCTCAACTGAAGAAGTGAGTTGCAGCGGGTGCATTACCTAATTGGGCAGATGGCTCTGTGAGTCTCCCTCAGTGATGTAGTGGCCTTTAAACAAAACATACACACACAGACAGACACAACAACACCTTTCCTATCACACATGTACACACGCAATTATCATTTCCCCTTTTGTCTGCCTCATCAGCCCTTAGTTTATCTCCCAGAGATAAACCTCCATCTGTTCATTTGAAAGAATGCCTGAAGATTTGTACTTTTGAGACTCAGTCTAAGTACATTAGAAGTTCCCTCTATGCTGACAGTGTATGTGCAAGGGCTTATGACAGAAATACAGTGTATAAAGAAAACAGAACTAATATTATTAATAATAATTCTAAATAATTAATTAATAACCTTTAAAATATTATTTTTAATAGAAAATAACTAAATTATAATTGTTGTTGTGAATGTTATCGAGCCATTATTGGAATATTGTGTAAAACTGAAAGTAACCTATTTTGATACAGCAGCACTTCCTGTGTGGAACCTGGAAATCAGTGAATCCTTCAGTTCCTGTCAAACAGGTGTGCTGAATTCCTCTGAGCTGGATTGCTGTCTGTCTGACAGTCTTTAAACTGCTCTGTGATCAGACTAAACTCAGAAGCTCTTTGATGGCAGTTTGGAGCAGGACAGATCCCTGGACAATAGTCTGGAGGTGTCGAAGCTCTGGAAGGTTAGAGCTCATGAAGGAAGAGAAGAGCACAGGATGTCTGTTGCTGTTGTTTTATCTTGTTTTCCAGTTGCTCCCTAGAGATGCCAAAGTACATGGTGTGTGTGAATAGCTTGGTTTCATTCAGAGAGAGAGAGAAATGGAAGGAGAATAAAAGGGTCTTCTGACCCATGATATTGTCAGGCGTCTGAGCTGATGTTCAGTAAAGAGAGTTCTTTTGGAGAATGAACCAAACTAAAAGAAACAAGACAACAATGTCAGTTGTAGAATTCACAAAAAAAAAAAAAGCTGGGAAAAAACATGGGAGCTGAGATTATGGGGTTGGGTGTTTTGCAATCTTAGTCTGTAATGAACTATTTTAATGAAAAGATTTCATGATTTACAGTGTTTCTGCCAAGCCCTTGAAATTCTAAAGAGATCAAAAAGAAAAATATATGATAATAAAATTGTTTAATTTTGAAATTAAAAAAAAAAAAAAAAGCTGGGACAAAACATGGGAGCTGAGATTATGGGGTTGGGTGTTTTGCAATCTTAGTCTGTAATGAACTATTTTAATGAAAAGATTTCATGATTTACAGTGTTTCTGCCAAGCCCTTGAAATTCTAAAGAGATCAAAAAGAAAAATATATGATAATAAAATTGTTTAAAATTAAATTATATAAAACATTTTCATTAAATTGTATAAAATAACTTAAAATTATTATTTTTTTATTTTAAAATGTAGTACTACCCTGAAGAAGCCCCATATGCATTTTTAAAATGATTCATGATTAAAAGATAATTTACTTTACACTTTTTTTTTTCTCTTTTTTTAAACTTTCTCTTTGTACCCTCTCAATGCCCTTCTCAGTATTGTCTGTTGTCTCAAGTCACAAAGCTGGATCTCAGTAGCATTTAAGCATTAGGTGAAAAAATTCAAATGTGCAAAACATACGGAGAGACCAAATAACTTGCAGTATACCGAGAGACCAAATAACTTGCAGTATTTGGAGGATTTTTCTTAAAGGGGTCATATGATGCGATTTAAATTTTTCCTTTCTCTTTGGAGTGTTACAAGCTCTTGGTGTATAAAGAAGATCTGTAAAGTTGCAAAGACTAAAGTCTCAAATCCAAAGAGATATTCTTTATAAAAGTTAAGAGTCAGCCACGCCTACCTAAAACGGCTCGTTCTAACACGCCCCCACATATCTACGTCACTGTGTGGGAAGATTTGCATAACGCCGCCCAAATGTTCACGCAAAGAAAGAAGGCACAACTTTTATTCTCGCTGTAGTATTGTTGTTGCCGCCACTGCCATGTTGTGGAGATGCTGTGTGTTTCGTTGTGAAAGCGAAACTACTTTGTTTGGCCTTCCAAAAGAGGACATAATGTTTCTATAAAGTGGGGCAGTTCCAACTTTGCAAGGACAGTCTGGTGCTTCTGACTCACAGACTGTAAGTAAGTTTTTTATATTTTAAGGATTTGCCACTGATGATTCAAAAGCGAGTTTTGAGTAGTGTAGGCAACGAATGCCTCGTTTATAATGGGTTTTATTGGTTTTGTCTCTTCACTCCGGCCGGGACACGGCATCACAGTATGGTGAGGGGCGTAAGATTTCCGTCACACGCTTGAGGTATTCGGCCAATCACAACGCACTGGATAGCTGGCCAATCAGAGCACACCTCGCTTTTCAGACCGATGAGCTTTGTAAACATCGACGCGTTTCAGAAAGGCGGGGCATAGAGGAGAAACAATAATGTACAGTATGTGGAAAATAATGTGTTTTTTTAACCTTAAACCGCATAAACACATTGCATTACACCAAATACACAAAATAATTTGTAAGTTATTTTTAGCAACATCATATGACCCCTTTAAGAACAGTAGGCACCTTCACTGCTCAGGACAAAACAAGAACTCAAGCATGTAATCTTTTGAACAAGATGATATCTTTAGAATGAGTTGTTTTGTGGAATATAAAAAACCCTGCAATTTTTTATGCCTCTTATTTATTTATTTTTTTAAAGATAAACATCTTGCAGATGCTGTCAGCTTATGAACAGAACTGCATTCATTTAAATCCCTCTCAGAATATCACTTGATGTGATGTATTTTGCAAATATCTGCCAAGATTTCTCTCTTTCACTTTTTCTCCTGTCTCAGTGGAAGTGACTGCTCTGAACACCAGTCCTGGCTGTTTGAATGTGTCCTCTGGAAGAAAGTGTCCTGAGATGCAACATAGGTGACAACGTGAGTCAAGCAATGAGGCACACTTAATGGAAGCTTTTGTTAAGTCTACAGCTGTGCTTTTTTCTCTATGTGCTTTTTTGAGTCAGGCCAGGTGACAGGTACAAAATAAAAATAGAGAGATGGGAGGAAGAGATCTGTGGATGGAAAAGAAGCAGAGGCATAAACGTGAATCTTCGATGCCTTCCTATTTATTCGGATGTAATTTGAAATGACTAAAGCATGTATTAAATAGCCTATAATGTGAAGCATTAGATAAATTGGAAGATTTATGCAAATGGGATTCTGTTTCCCAAAAACGGTTTTCTTGCATTGTTGGGCTAAAAAATAAAAAATCATTACAGCACAAATGACTCCGAAAAAAAAAATTCCATTTGTTATTTAAATGTATTCAACATTTCCAAAAGATAGAGTAGGACTGACAAACATAGCATAGATTTATTTAATTTACAGCTTTATTGTTTCTTTTATATCTTCTCCATAGAGGCTTAGCTAAACGTGTCTGATGCAATCTCATTGGCTCTTTATAACATCTTTGACTGGCTAAAGCATAGAACATTTCTCAAACCAATAATGTGGCAAAGACGAAATATAGTTCATGCTCTGGTGTTGGTACAGATACACACAAACACACACACACACACACACACACACACACCCACACTCGCACTCACAAACGCACATGCACACTTACAAATAAACCTCATTTGCTCACATTCATTCGTCCCATCGGAATAAAATATTAGTGAAAATATTCTCACTGCATGTTGTTGCATTGGTTAGCAGGAATGATTGAGTGACAAGTGAAGCCCCTCAACAGCACCTCAACTCTCCCCAGACATGCGTCCTCCACCCCTCTTCAAAATCAATGTTTTTTAAGCAAACACTTCTGTTCTGACGTGTAAATTTCGCCGTAATATTCAGGTTATAAAGGAAATAATTGCTATAAAGTAGTAATACTGTGTCTAGGTGTTTTTTATAATTTAAAATGCCACCTTTATATTTGCCAAATGCTATTGTGTTATGCTTTATATTTGAACTTTTTGTATTTTTAAAATGTAGCTTCAGAAAAATATTCTAATAGTAAGTAATAGTAAAACATACATAAACATTCTTTAAGCCATCTTGTTCATAAAAAAAGAGTTGAGACTTATAAGTCATCTGCTGTTTCTGGAGGGGCAGGAGGTGACTGAGAGGAGGTAGATTAGGGTCGAGTGCTAATTGACCGGTGAGGAAAGGAGTCATGGGAAGCGGGAGTAGCAGAGTATCAATTGCCTAAATTGAGTATCAAGTGCTTTAAGGAATAACATTCATTCACAACGCTCATCAGCTACTGCAGTCCCAACAGAGTACAACACATACGAAAAGAATGCAGATGGAAACCAGTTACCAACAACAGCCAACAGGGGGTGCTGTGTCCAATGTAGAGGTAAGGAGAAATCGGACACAAGCGTTAGAATTATATGAATACAGTTGTCATCAGATCCGCATATCCTTCAAAAGTAACATTCTTTTTTCCACAGGTTGTCAGGGATATTTTTAACATTAGATATCTGTGGGCAAAAAGAGTTTTACTGAAGAAAAGCACATGAGGATGAGGTTAAAGATCTCTGCCAGTCACTCTTTGCGTCTTAAAACAAGAAAGACAAAAATGCCCTTTCAGCGCTGAAAGAGAAAAACGTCACTTTTATCACTTTATTATCTTGTCTTTTATCAATCAATAAGGTGATTTGAAGAGAAGCTACTGAACTTTCGTTCCACTGAGTCTCTTTCTGTAAAAATGTGTGCTGAAGCAATGGAGAGATCCTGGTAAAATAAAGCGCTTGGGATGATAAATGCTCCTTCCTTCACTTCCTTTTTCCTTTTGCTATATTTCTTTCTTTCCAACTGCTTGTCCTCTGTGCTCACATATTCAGTCGGCGTAAAGAATGAAGCCAGAGAAGGTGCTATATTTGTTGTTGTTGCCCCCGTGGGCTTTGCCACCATCTAGCTTGATGTAGACTTCATCGCCAGCGTCTAGATGCAGAATCACACTGTTTGAGGCGTAGTCATAGTTTTGATCAGCATCTTGCGCGATCGCGCTGGCTCGCACCTACATGAGAGAGAGAGAGAGAGAGAGAGAGAGAGAGAGAACGAATAAGGAACATCAGTAATATAAAATGTCTGACACATTTGGTCAAGGCTTAGCTAGTTAGCAAGCTCCTTGACCGTGATGGTTGGCAGATGCTGTAACTACACCATCTAAATCCAAAAGTCATCTTAATCCATTTACAGCCATTCAAAATGAATAGTATTTCTGCAAGTAAAATCTTAGGTGATTGGCTCAAAAATGGGAAAGATGGCAGGTTTTACTGCCTAAAATGCATATTGCATTGGTCCTGCACCAGCCAAGCAACTGCCATTGGGATGTATGGGAATGCTAATGGATAGCTTTCTTCAGGTATTAAAGACAAATCATGCTATGAGAGTTTTAGTTTAGTGACAACCTCCTTTTTTTGACTCTGATAACTAAAATACGAAACCTCTGCGAAGGTTAAATCTCCCTCATTAAACAGGAAGTATCAGATATCCACCAACACATAAGCGCGCATAAGACTCCAGGATACATGAAAATATGCAAGCGTTGACACACATTCAGATTGGCTTCAAATTTATGACAACTGTTCTCGTTCACTTGAGCGGGCCGGGAAAAGATTGAGACACGGATGGATTTAATATATGTGGATTTGTTCGAGTACCACACAACAGCGTTGGGGAAATTGCTGAGGATTTCTGTAATCTGTCTGGTGAATTATAGTTCGAGCTGGTGAAGGCATGAATATGTACAGCTTGACTGCCTGGATCTCACTCATAACAAGCTGTGAACATGTTTTAATGTGCAATTATTTTTTTTTCCAGTCAGACAGAAAGTTCAGCTTCAACTAAGTGCTAATGTCTATGTTATTTATTAGAGTAAAAGAAGGAAGGAAGGAAGTGTTTGTGTGGGAGTGTATTTGTGTGTCCTTGTGTTCTGCTTCTACATGACCTCTGTTCCATCTAATTAAGAGTTCTGTTTGAAAGGTTTTTGCAGACTCGAGGGAGATCTCCATAGGCAGAGGTGTTAGAGCAAACCCCCGATACACTATTATAATCAACACCAGTGTGTGTAGAGGAGTTGGTGTGTGTATGTGTGTCCCACCCACACAATATGGCTTGCACTCATTGGCAATACTGGTAAGAAATGTACTGTAGAGGGAAGAGGGTTTCTGGAAGGGGAAGGGTCAGAAATTAATTCACTTTGCTTCTTTTGCGTAAGTAAATTTTACATACTCTGTATAGCATGTTGCATTTACACAATCTGACAAATATATATATATTTTAAAATTTTGTATAAAAGGGATTTTTAACGGGCCACCCACAGTAGTTCTGTTCCTTCATGTCTTTCCAAACGTGTGACTTTCTTTATTCTGTGGAACACAAAAGAAGATATTCTGAAGAACTGTTTAAGTCAATGGGATTCAAAACAACAATGGACCCCACTGACTGGGCAAAAAAGCACTAAGACATTTTTAAAAAATATCTCTTTTTGTGTCCCATAGAAGAAATTTTCATTTTTGAAAGGCCTCTTTTTATACCAAATCAAGAGGCAAATAAATTGTAAACATATTTTACAGGCAATACAGCAAAGTATATATATATATATATATATATATTTTAATAAAATTAAAAATACAGATTTTTTTCCCCAACATTTGTGTGCTAAGTATTGTTTTGTTAACTAGCAACATGTTATGTCTGTGTAGATTCATCACTAAACCATCCAGGTGTTAAAACATTCCAAAAAATTGTATATTTAATTTATAAAAAAGTCACTGGACTATAAAAAGCTTCACAAGACGTTTCGGTGTCTATCCAAACACCTTCATCATTTGTAAAAACAGGAAGTAACAAGTAACAACAAGTAACAAGATGATTCACTCATATTACTCTTGTTGTGTTCCATATCAAGACTGATTTCTATCTTTGAAATGTAAAGGTTGCTTCTCTGAAATAAACCTCAATGACGACGTTGACTCGCAGTATAGTGGAATAAGTCCCGCCTTCTAAATAAAAGAGCCAATCGGCAGTTGGTGAAGTCATCGCACCATTGCTGCCATTAGAAGTTGGGTTTTTATAGAAAATCAGTGACCTGAGAAGCATGCTTGGGACTGAAATATATGCCTTTTTTGCTATTTAAACCAATAAAAAATAATTATGGGTTAGTTTATGTCAGAATTTGTTGCTGATTCGAAATATGTTATTTAAATGCAAGTTTGGCAAGCAGTTTTTGAGATTTAAGTATTTCCCTATTCAAATAGATAGGCCGGTCTTGCATGCTTGAAATAGCTGCTTGGAGGCGTTGCAAATATTGCCGCTGAGGGAACTGACTTTCCTTAAAAAGGTACTTTGGTCAAAATCTATTTAAATCAATTGCTTGAGTCATACATGTGTAGAGCTATTTGTGTGGTGTGTGGAATCTCTGCCTTTGAGATTCTGCCTTAGAAGGCAGCTGCTTATGTAGACAGTGAGCAGCGAGGCAGGTTTCTAGGTTTAGGAATGGAGATAGGATGTTTGTGTTGCTTGAGTAAATGGCTGGATTGATTAGCGAGGCACATATCACCACCTGTCCCATTGAAATGTTGGCCGGTGTTTGTGGGTATGCATGTGCATGTGTAGCTGTCTCGTTTCATTTTTCTACACAAACACCCTGTAAAGATTCTGGCAGAGGGGATTCCCTGAGGTCAAGGCCATATGGATGTTTGGGCTGTGGTATGGTGGCTGTAGAGGGACACATGAGGTTGCAGTGCTGATGTGTAATGGGCAGCGGTGGAGCGCTGGTTTGACCAGCTGCTGCTAAATACACTTTACTCAAGCTTAATCTGAAATGCAGATACGTACTCACAGAACTGTTCTCTATGCTTACACTGAAATGTATGAATAGCCAGGTTTATTAAATATGGAATAGGCCTGATTCTGATATTAAATTCGTATAGTCTTTTAAACTGCTTTAAATCAAACAATATTTCATGTTTATTTATTTGGTAAGTAGCCAAATAAACACTGTGGCCAGCACTGTGAGGATTGTAAATTAGATTGATTCAATTTAGCCAAATCAAGTCTTCTGAATTTCAGCAGAGATAGCTACTAAAATCTCTATAGGACCATATCAGTTTATGATTTTAGTGACGAAGCAAATGGTGGACGAAAATGCAATAAAGAAACAGAGAGAGAGAGAGAATATTATGAAACTATCTTGAAAAGAGCTGTCAATTCCTTCAAATCGAATGATTCTGCTGTTTTCGGTTTTGTGCTGATGCAGCTCTTACCAGAATCATTGCTTATTGATCGGACTCATTGTTTACTGAATGTGCCAGTGTAAGAGTGCTGCACTACGTGAGTGACATTCTTATAAATGGGGGGTTGTAACGGAACTGCAAAGTCTTCTGAATTTCAGCAGAGATAGCTACTAAAATCTCTATAGGACCATATCAGTTTATGATTTTAGTGACGAAGCAAATGGTGGACGAAAATGCAATAAAGAAACAGAGAGAGAGAGAGAATATTATGAAACTATCTTGAAAAGAGCTGTCAATTCCTTCAAATCGAATGATTCTGCTGTTTTCGGTTTTGTGCTGATGCAGCTCTTACCAGAATCATTGCTTATTGATCGGACTCATTGTTTACTGAATGTGCCAGTGTAAGAGTGCTGCACTACGTGAGTGACATTGCCCGAAACTCGCCCTCCTCTTTTAGTGTCCATTTTCTGAGCCAGAGAGGGATCTAGAGCTTTCCATCATCTGGAGAGGTGGACCAGTCCTCCTTAGGGATGCGGTGGGATCAGCAAACACAGCGAAACCTTCTCATTAGTTTTCATTTTAGGCTGAATGGCAGTGAGTTTGTCAGCCTGAGACTGTAATGTGTTCTTTAATTATGATGGACAGAGTGCAGAGGAAGAAGGAATGGAGAGAAATGTGACAAAAAGAGTGAGATATGGCAGTTCTACAATCATCAGGGAGCTTCAGGATCCTTGGATGAAGTCTCTGGCACATCTGTATATTTACAGAGACTAGACGAGAATATTTGGACACTGAAGCCACACTTGAAATAAGTGAATTTCATTGCATTAGACTAGGGTTTCTTATAAATGGGGGGTTGTAATGGAACTGCAGGGGGTTGTGCATTGGTGAAAAGTTAAAGTTAAAAGTTAACTGTATTTATTTACTTATATACTTACTTACTTACTTACATAATTTCAAGCATTTCTGTGGACATAATTTGCCAGAATTTCACCAGTATTCACCCAAAATAAAAGACTGAGCATATGAAATGTGTGGGTATGTATTTGCTCTAGGGTTTTCATATGAGATGAAATGTCATATCACTGTTAAAATTGCCACATATGACAAAACAATTGATCAGAATTAGACATTTGCTGAAAAAAAAAGGATTACATATTTAATATTTTATCGTTTACCTGCATGTTATTTAACCATTAACCAACATTAGAGAACTGTGAAAATGTGAACTTGTTGTCAAATTATTGAAATATTAACTTAAAATCTCTGGAGGTACTTCAATTAAATATTTTCTGTCTACAGGGTGTGCCTGGGAAACCCTGCGTTAGATAACATAATATCAAACCAAATTAACCCTGGACATGTTTGACTAATGTTTGATAACCATAAATTATATTATCTTAATAATAACTTAATTTCGAACAATATATCTGTCATTTTATGACCTTAAACAGCCTTGTTTTTCTTAAATATAAACAATAAAACAAAATGTTATGCTTGAAAAGTGTACTTGTGCTTTTTTTATGAATGCTAACATATTCATACATTTTTAAATGTTTAAATTGTCCAATCCCTTTTCTCATCTTTTTGAGTCTCTCTTGTCATATATTATGTTCTCTTTTATACATCTCTTCACATGCATGTCTTCACTTCCATACAATTAGTTTTCTTAATCATCTTATAGGACGTTCAGTTCTCTGTCTCTCTTTTGTTTTGTTTTTCTCTCTCTTTTTCCTCTTTCTAAGAACTGATTTGTATTCAAAGTTTGTCTTACACC